CGAGTGCTAAGCAGTGGGTGCTGTGCTGCTCCAACGTCAACATCCACTGAGATATACACCATCCTATATGTTACTATTCTCTAAGCTCAAACGACAACCAAAAAATTATGCTCTAGCTCTTGTGGTGTCCTTGGAACCTTTGACGTAGGTATTTGGGCACTTCCCCATTTAAAATTAACGTTATTTCTGACCACAAATCCGCTCACTTAAATAAATACTATGAAATAAAAATGCTAGGAATCATGAGGTGGGCTCTCAGAATCCAACCTTATTCATTAGAATAGAAACACATAAGTGTCATTGTAATGTAACTGCCAGACCTCTGTCACCGTCCTTAATAAATACAGTTACATTAAATTTACGTAATTTTATGCCTAAAATACCTTTTGTTTACTTGCTATGTCAAATTCAGTAAAGTAACTTAACCCTCCAGCCCATATTAACTATATAAACTCATGGATCATCAACTTCCTACAAATCGAACACAAAGAGTATGGTCCACAGAGATTAAAACGAGCAGCCAAAGTGAAGAAGCTCTGTTCCACAAGGCACAGAACTCGCCCCCATCATATATCCTTATACCTCATATCAGACAAAACAGAGATAAACACCACAGCACCAATATCACCTTTGCGGATATACTAGCATCTTCATGAGGCTGTCATCTGCTGAGGACTCGGTTAAACCTACCAAGAAGATATAAACAAAGATATCCAGGGGCACGGTAAACAAAAAGAATGTTCAATGAGGACAAATTCCCAACTACCTGTTATGAAAACTGGAGGCGATAATAACTAAACAGAGTAAACTACTGACTCCGGCCATACATAGAGCAGAAAAATAATGTTAAGTTGGACCTGGGAGTTAGTAATGATCCTGAGATCTCACTTTCCAGGATCACCAACAGTGCCACGATCGTACGTGCAAAGAAAATGATAGGAATGGTAATGAGAAACTTTCAACAAGAGTATCCAAGAGCCCATATAATCCATTTCAAATCACTTGTTCTCTCTAGCTGGAATACTGCTGGTAACATTAACTCTCCATTCAAAGCAGGAGTAAATCGCAGAACAAGAGAGTGAACAGAGATCCTTTACGCACGTATAACATCTGTCAAGCACTTAACTACTGGGAACGCTTGGAAGCACTTGAACTTGTACGGTTGGAACCAGGAGGGAGAGATATAACATAATCTACACTTGGAAAATCTGAAGGAATGGTCCCAAATCTGCACACAGAAATCACACGCCTACGAAAGTAAAAGACTGGGCCAGGCGATGGCGTGCACAAAATGCACCAATAAAAAGTAGGGGCACCATTGGTACACTACGGGAAAACACCAAAAGGGACGGGCACCAAAACTGTTCAAAGCCTTCCCATCAAGCTTAGGGGAATTGCCAATAAACCCCTGGCTGCCTTCAAGCGAGACTTGAACAGATACCTAAAGTCAGTGCCGGATCAGCCGGGCTGTGGCTCGAACGTTGGACTGTGTGCGGCCAGCAGTACAGCCTAGTTGAACAGGCCCTGATCCATCGGAGGCCAGGTCATAGGACGGGCCCGGGGGCGTTTGATCCCCGAATAACCCACCAGGTAACCTCCAGGTATGTCCTAACTATTATATTTATATATTCACAGTAATTGTTGTGTGTAAGAGACTAAGCTGAGTGATTAGTGGGTAGTGTGGTGGTGGGCGATGTACTGCGTGACGCAACACTGTCCTGCCGCAGACCTCCCCCTCACTACACACCTTAAGCTGTTTCAACGCAGATGTCCATACTACATAAGCATTCCACAACCACTACTTAAGAGTGGAAAATGCAGACTCCACTACTATGATCGAGCCTCCATTCGTGGTCCAGGCTCATCTACGCTATCCTGTCACAACACTGATGAACATAACCACGAGAAATGCAGAGATACGATACGTGTACTGCCCTATTCTAGGGGCATATCCTAGTGAAACTGACACAGTTGAATGATAGAAGTGCTTGGCACAAAGAGTGACTCTGAAATAATCTTTATATTAAATTGTATTGATATAGTAATCATAATAATGTGAAAAGACATTAAATCAACTCCTCGTGCGACCGTCAGACATGTTGGGGGGGGTTATGCAACCCCAGGAATGGGTTGTAAAATGATTATTAGTATATAAATAAATATTACCTTTCATATTAATTTTATATTGCTTATAATTTGCGATAATAGCTAAATCGTAATGAAAAAAAATCATAACTAGACAATAGGGTAGTTTAATTTAATATAGTAATAATAAATACAATATTCATTATATTAATAAATTAATCAAAACCCAAAACACACACCAGACCGTGTGTAACCAACCCACACAACCCAACGAGTACACCACCAACACCTACCACCACCACTACCCACACCCCCAGACCGTGCAAAGTCACCACCCAACAAACACACACCCAAACACCACACCCAACACACCATTGATAGACAAACACACACCCACCACCACCAGCAACACAAGAACAAAGCCGACTAAACAGTAAGAACGTACTGCCGGACCCCAAAACAGTGTGAGCACCTAACCTGACAAGCTAGTACACCCACCAGACCACACGCGACAAATCAATAAACCCAGCCGTCACATGATGGGCCCGCCCGCACCCCACGCGCACACCACTAGCACGAGGGGGGTGGGGGGAGTCCACCTCGCCTGTAGTATACAGCCAGTCACTCGACACTCATGGGGGTAGGACAGATTGACAGACACCTTAAACTATGATAGTTCTGTCAACCACTCAGTTCACAGAACATTGAAAAAGACTTAGTGAAATTTCGACTTGGGGGGTTACTGAGGTATGTGTGTACGCATAGACACACTGAGCAACTCAGGACCGACCATAACTTATGAATGGTATCAGTGTAAATATATCACAGTCGGGATTTACATATGCAGCACTATGAATTCAGTAGTATGGGATGTTTTTGACTTAGAGGAGATCTGCAGAGGGTCCCCTACGTAGTGTCCGTTATATTATCTCCTTTTCCTGATTCTGTGTCGCAGTTGCTTGTTATATTTCTATTGGGCTTAGCATTCTTATTGTTTGCTCAGCAGACTGTCATGGTCCAGTCGGTCAAAAAGTTAGTTTATAGAGGACCTTTGTCAGTCATTTGTTTAAGTCTATTTAGTCGTGAGACATAACCGAACTACTTGGAGCACTACACGCATACACAAACTTGTACATAATTGTAATATCTTATTAAATATAAAGAGTATCCAGACGGTACTTAAGAAAGATAAATGTGATAGGCTTTCAGCACAATAATATTGAACTCGAGAGAAGTGATATATTTGTTAAATTTTAATTTAATTTAAATTTGATAATATACCTCTAACTTAATAAATTTATAAATTTTAATTTCTCTAGTTAGTAGCCTACCAGTTGTAATCCTGAAGCACTATTGAATAATACTGAATTCTAATGGATAATTGGACAAGGATACTGACTACTTGTTACGAAAACCCAGTAACAGGCTGGATGCTAGAAGGGCAGTCCTTTCTAGTATTCACTGGAGATCTCTAAGCTTTTAGAATCGCGTTTTATGTGTAACAATGCAACAGTTTGTGAATGCCTCATCTGCCTTCAAACCTTCAACAGTGGTGTATCTTAGCTGTTCTTTTCTGAGTATATACTGTCAAGTAATGTATGTATTAAATGATAAAAACCATTGGTGGGCGAATCGTTGCCCCAGCAAATATATCTAAAGTTGCATATGTGTCCATTTTCCTATTATCGGTATTACTACCCATAATTACACAGGAAAAAACCTTATTACCCGCTGAGACAAACCTCAAGTCTTGTTACAACAAGTCTAGTAGTCAGGCACTACAGTTTCTGATCATTAGCCCAGAGACGTGTGTCAAATCCTATTACCAAATATGTTTGAGCAAACCCCGAGTGACAACTGTGAGCATCAGCTTCCAATCAGGACCACTGTCACCTCGTAGGTATATCTTCATATAGGAAATAATTAAGAAAAGGAATTGCCTACATCCCATGCTCTACATGTCTACACTCAATTGTCATTTCATGACAGGTGTACAAAAACTAATGTAAAAATTAAACCAGGCCTAAGAATAGACTGGAATTTGAAAGAAAGCATCGGCACAAACATATCGATTAATAACAGGATAAGCACAAATCGCGTCAGTTTACGATTTTGGGAAAATGCGGACACAAGGACCCAATTATTATTATTATTAATATATTATAATCCAAAAGAAGCGCTAAGCCACAAGGGCTATACAGCACAAGGACCCAATAAATTACTTGCTTTGAACTACAGCTTCTTCCGCTACCTCTAAGTAAACAGCTACTCTCCCCATATCTCCGTTATTCCCGAGAAAACAGCCTTAACTGCAGACAACTGCTACAACCCCATCCACCTGTGCGCGCCCTTCAATAGACAGCCCTCCCCGGCCTTGCCTCACCTGGAGTGCGGAGGTAAACAACACCAGGTCGGTGGCGGCCACATATCATTGAGCATCACAGCAGACGTTTTCCCAGGCAGGCCGCCCGCTGATCATCTCTGACACACTGATCCCAGATATGATAGTGGCTTACAACCTGTGATAAACGTTATGATAACGTCCAGATCCTCTAAGATAGCTAAGAACTGTCAGGAGAGCAGCTCAAACATGGTTTTCTTTCCGCCAAAAAAAAAAAAAAAAAAGGTATCAGCGTAACAAATAAATGAGAATTTAACCAGCCTAAAGTGATATATAAAGTTATAGATAATTATCCATTTCCTTAAACTACTATATTAAGACAACATCCGAATGACCATATACTACAACATTACACACTTGATAAAAATAATTTTAAAGGGAAGGAAGACGTTTATAAGACTAACAGAGCGCTTTGATCCAGAACATGCAGTGCTCTCAAGTGCACTCACGCTAAAACCATCCCTTTAAAAACTAGCATACAAAAAATTCTATACTATACGAAGGGTGTACTTACCCCTTCCATCTCCCTCCGAGAGGTCGATGATACCATCTCTGGAGATGTTGCCCCTGGCTTCTGAAGAAGACGTGGGTGTCAAGATGGGCATGCCGTTCGGAGTGGTAGCTGGAGTAGACCCATACGGCCATGACTTTGGGTGGTGTCATGGGTATTGGGAACTGGGACTGGGGGGCCGAGTAGTAACAGACGCCTCTCATTTTTCCTGGCAGAGCGCACCCGTCGTCGGGATTTATAGGTTTTCTACATTCTTCCTTTTGTGTATTGGGCTCGATTTTCTAAACAACTAGTATTAATAAATATTTATTTAGGCTTTGGAAACTTTTTTTTTTTACAGTGGTCTTGAGGGCTTACAGATGTTACGGGCACATACAAGTTACATTCTGTGAATTTAACCTATGATAACCTAATAAAGGCGAACAAAATGACTTACATCCAGTGACGTCCTTTAATAATTTCATTTTTCAAAAAATGAAATATACTGCATATTCCTAAAATTCATAAGAATAATTTAAATCCATCGATACCCATTTTCTTTGTCTCATCCTTACATCCTTAGCAATTTGCATCTCGTACAATACACAGTACATTACTATTACACAATGTTTATCACGATGCAGCATTAACAAAAAACACACCCTCTCTCCTTTCTGCAGCTTTCCCTGCCAGGTGTTTTAACCTCAGCCTTTAATTGGCTAATGCCACTACTGGCCTGGATATGATTAGGCAAGTTCTTCCAGTCATTTATTGCTGTACAAAAGGCAAGTTAATAAATTAAGATAGCTAAACAATGTGACAAACTGTATTTCCATTGCCGTCCTTATCTCCAGAAGTTTCAACCTGGGCACTTTAGGCTATAAGTGAAACTGTAAACAAATGGTTCAGAGAGCCGACATGATGATCGAGACACTTGTGCAACACTTGGGACTCTTTACTGAGGAAACGTTTCGTCAACAAGTGGCTTCCTTAATACGGTACTGAGATAAATGGCGAAACGTTTCCACCATAAAAATTCCCCAAGTGTTGCGAAAGTGAAACGTATGAAGGTACGAGGTAACACAAGGTAGTGTTTGCCCTCTAGTACCATGCTGACTTAAGACTCCTAATGCTTTAAAAATTAGTGTTAACGTAGTCTGAGGCAGGTTGTTGGCATGACATAATTTCAGTAGTTTGACTATCTTTACCACTTTTAGTATCGATATCTTGTGTTGCACTTCCTGATCGACATGTTTCCTTACATCAGTGTTCATATTTCTGAATAACATGTAATGTGGTCTTCATGTAGTTCGTCAGAGAACACCATGAGCTGAATGACATTGTTGAAAACCGTAACAATTTTGGGTGTATTAGTTGACATTGTTTGCCTAAGAGGGGGAGAGGGGCGGATACGGGGGAGGAAGAAAAGGAAGGAAAAGGGGAAAGGCGAGGAGGGAGAACAGAATAAGGGAAGGGGGAGGGATGGAAGGGGACAAGGGGGAGGGATGGAAGGGGACAAGGGGGAGGGAAGGAAGGGAGGGGACAAGGGGGAGGGAAGGAAGGAAGGGGACAAGGGGGAGGGAAGGAAGGAAGGGGACAAGGGGGAGGGAAGGAAGGAAGGGGACAAGGGGGAGGGAAGGAAGGGAGAAGGAGAAAGGATACCTGTACCTTTGATATACATTGATGTTTCGAGATTTACCCTGCATCCTGCAGCCCGGCCATGGGCCAGGCTTGTCTGGTGCTTGCCTGGTCAACCAGGCTGTTACTGTTAACGCCCACTGCCCCCGCACATCCATCACAGCCTGGCTGATCCGGCAAGGTCAGGAAGCCTGTAGTACCAGTGATTGCTTGTGATATATTTCTAGTTTTTTAATTAGTATGACCCAGCCTGTGGCCAGAAGGAAAGTGAAGGATGGAAGGTGAAGGAAAGTGAAGGATGGAAGGTGAAGGAAAGTGAAGGATGGAAGGTGAAGGTGAGGAAGGGAAGCAAGAAGAGATGGATAACAATAAAGGAAGGTGGTGGTCCATGTAACAGGTGAACACAGTAACTACACATCAATCATCGCCTACAACACACTCCTAAACCTTCGCTCAAACAAACTTAACATCAACATTACCCACAATAAAACCTTTCAAGTGAGTCAAAACACCAAAAAAAATGAATAAATATATATATAAATATATATATAATACAAGAATATAAAGGTAGTCAGTCTTACAGACGTCATGTCAACACGTACTTTGAAAACCACTTTACTTACTAGTTCCTGAGACATACTGCATATGTTAGCCTCTCCACTAACAAGAAAATCCCCAGGTGATTTTCTGTACTGATGAAGTATTATTAAAAGAAGAATCACAGTTCAGTTAGGCGATAATAAACTCCTCTAACTCCTCACTAACACTCCCCCTCTGACACTACTCACTACACTGCCGCTGCCGGGTAAGACCTTTATTATTTATATACCAGATTCTCTTGTAACCTTTGTAAAATTAAACTTTACAGCCTTTTAAATTCATTATTTATATTTATTCAAAGTTTATATTTAATCCCAGACTGCGTAGAGCGCGTCTATATATTTATAAACTGACTGCGAGATTTTAGTGTAAAAAAATAAAGTGTTCGTGCGTGTGGCAGAGCAGTGTCAAGGTTACCAGCGTGTTGTGTCGTGTTTCCCGCCAGCAGGTGCCTCCCCTCCCCACCTGAAGGGCTCTTCTTCCAGGGAACTGGAGCTACCCTCCACTTTCTTGGATCAAGCTTGATTGGCTTTCACTCCTCAGGCGACGTTTGACCCTTACGGGGTGAGCGCTTCTACATATTCCGGCAGCAAGTGCAAAATCAACACTGCAATTTAGACTATTATTATTATTATTATTATTATTATTATTATTATTATTATTATTATTATAGGTCAAGGGAAAGCGCTAAACCCATAGGGGTTATTCAGCACTTGGGGAATGGGAGGCAATCAATTTTGCTACAAGGGGAGTATACTTGGAGTGTGTTCTGGGGTCTGCGCCCCTGCGGTCCAGTCCATGTCCAGTCCTCGCGGTGGCTCAGGACCTGATCAACTAGGCTCTTACTGCTGGCCGCACGTAGTCCAGTACCCGATCAGCCCTGCTGATCAGGTACTGACTTCAGGTATCTATGCAGCTACAGTTCATTCTTGAAGACAGCCAGGGGTCTATTGGTAATCCCCCTTATGTGTGCTGGGAGGTTGTTGAACAGTCTTGGGCTCCTGACACTTATTGTTTTCTCTTAGCACTCCTGTTTTTCATTGGGGGGATATTGCACTGTCTAGCTAGTCTTTTCCTTTTATAGGCAGTGATTTCTGTGTGAAGATTTGGGACTAGTCCCTCTAGGATTTTCCAGGTGTAAATTATGATGTGTCTTTCTCGCCTGGGTTCCAAGGAGTACAGGTCAAGGAACTTCAAACGTTCCCAGTAATTAAGATTCATGACCGAACTTATAGATTTTCCTGTTACAGTCGTACAGCAGGAGGATAGTACCTCCCTGGATGAGTATTGTCTACCAACCTACTATCATAATCTACTAATCTGCTACCATAATCAACCAACCTACCATAATCAACCAGCTTACCACACCTGGCAGACCAGATTGCCCAGAACTGCATTGATAGTATAATCACTACACATATTTATGATTGTTTAAGATACTAATCACTATAGATGTGAATGGTGCTATAATGTTTATACTATACTGATGTTAATACCTGTTGTAGATATTAAGTGTGATCATAGAAAAGGAATTAATGTATTTAATCAGCACTGAACTACAGATAGGCCTAGTGTAGCTGAATTAGCAGCCTGATGCCCGTGGACACACTGGTTTCAAGGTGCCCCCAGGGCACAATGGGCTCAAGGTGCCCCCAAGGCACACTGGTCTCAAGGAGACTTACCATGAGTTCATAAGAATCGCCGGAAATAGCAAGTTAGGGTCCGTTCCTGGCTGCCCACTACCACTGTTATACCCACCACCAGACGAGCCTGGCCCATGGCCGGGCTTCAGGAGTAGAAAAACTCTCATCAAAGGTATATCAAAGGTAAAGGTATACCACACCTGACATACCCACCATCTGTTGTACCTACCACCACTATTATATCCCCCACCACTCTTGTAACCACCTTCATCTTAAACATGAGCCTGCTACCTTGAAAATTCTCATCACCACTGAAAACATTAGGGAGGTGGGACTTTCCCACTAGATATAAAGCGGAATATAGCTGATAAGACACTCGTTAGGTTAGGTTAGGTAAGGTTCGTCAGGAAACAGGACAATCACCATCACCCTGCACCACAGTTACCGCCATCACCCTACACGACAGTCACCACCATCACCCTGCACAACAATCACCACCATCACCCTACACGACAATCACCATCATCACCCTGAACAATCACCACCATCACCCTGCACAATAATCACCACCATCACCTTACACTACAATCACCATCATCACCCTGAACAATCACCACCATCACTCTGCACAACAATCACCACCATCACCCTGCACAACAATCACCATCACCCTGCACAACAATCACCCCACACTCCACAACAATCACCACCATCGTGGTGGGTTCCATGGATGAGCTCGAGTCACCTGAATCAAGAGCTCAGTATTATTTTTTAGTTTATAATTATCATGGGTAAGTTCTTAACACATAGGGGACCTACACTGCCGGAAGAATGGCATTATAATCATAATAGGCTAAACCCACAGGGGCTGGAGAATGGCAAGTAATCAGGGTCGATCCAAGGAAAAGGAGACCAGGTCCAATTACTTTGATTAAGTACCTTTTACCATCAAGGTAATTCCTTTCAAGGGTGATCCAAGGAGTGCAGCTTAAATTATGGGGAAGCACTAAACCCATAGGGGTCATATAGTACCTGGGAGGTATTTAGGTTCAGTCCAAGAAAGGGGAGGGCACGTCCAGTTCCTTGGATCAAAGAACCCCCCTTTGAGGGGCAGCTTAAGTTCTTAAGTCTACAGAAATTTTCCTGATCAAGGTATGATTATGTTAATAGGGGAAGTGCTGACCCTTGTGGGTCATACAGTACCTGGGGGAATGAGGGGAGTATTCAGATTCGATCCATGGAAGAGGAGCACAGGTCTAATTTCTTAGAGGAAGAGTCCATCACCAGTACCATGGAGCCTCATTTGCAGGTTCATGGGGGTAGCGCTAAACCCACAAAATTATTATAATCATGGGGGAGCGCTAAACCCATATGATTATCATACAGCGCAAGTGGGGGGGGGGATGGAAGGCATTCAGGCTCAATTCAGGGAACCGGAGCACAGATCCAATTCCCTAGATCAAGAGCCCCTCACCAGCATCAAGGAACCTCCCTTGAGGGGCAAACCCACAAAAGCCATACAGCACCTTGGAAATGGGAGGCAATCAGGTTTGATCCTAGGAATGGTAGCTCGAACTCTTCAGATCAAGAGTTCTTCAGAAGAGAAAGGCTGTTTAAAAACCGCTTTTCTATTGTAATATTTGCACTAATAACTCTTTACAGTTGTGACCGGATGTGGACGTGTGAATGTATCATTACTTTGCAATTTGTTCATGATTGTAACCATATATAGACATGTAGATGATTCATTAACTTGGTCATGACTGTGACCAAATCTTCCTGGAGTTCATTACTGTAGTAGCTTGTTCAGCTATCAAAACTTTGGGACCCAGTCCCTGGGCCCATTATGCATCTCTGTAATCTTTTGATTACCACCAACCTGATGGGTATTGGGTGCATAATAAAGATATTGAACTAACTCAGTTGTTGGGCTGTGGCCTGGGTAATATACCAGTCCAGCAAATATCTGCATGATTGTATTTCTCCTGTTGTTGTTGCTGGTGTCTTCCATGTGATGATAATTACTAGGCTCTTATTCTTCACTTTTATACCGAAAACTTCTACCATATCATTGTTGATTTAAACAGTTCACTATGACAATCAAACCACATCACGGGCTGGGATAGAACCTGCAGTCAGTCATTACGATTTCATGAGTCATAACGTGTCAATGATGCACACAGTTTTGTGATGCCAAGTCAACCATGCAGCAACACAGCTCATCCATACAGTTGCAACAACTGATTCATCACAGAGCTAAATATAAACATTATTATATGGGGATTTTTTATTACAATCAAAACCAAGTGCCAAACCCATAATGGTATTATACAAGGAAAGAGCCAGTTACTGTGGATGAGCAAGATGCTTACAGCAAGCACTAAACCTACATATATTTTATACAGCATTCCCACAATTGAACTTTCGTCTACATGTATTATGATCACGGGGGAGCACTAAACCCATAGGGTTATACAGTGCCTGTGGGGGGCTGGGGATGGAAGGTATTCAGGCTCAATTCAGGGAACTGGAATACAGATCCAATTACCTAGATCAAGAGCCCCTCACCAGCATCTAAGGAATTTTCCTTGAGGGGACTTAGTCTACAGAATGGGGTACCAACATACATATTTGAAGGGAAATGCCAAATACACAAGGGTCATATAGTGTGCAGCAGCTGCTGCAATCAGCTTTGTTAAAAACTACATAGGAAAAGTGAGCAGAATTAGTTGAGAATACAGTGGACCCCCGCATAACGATCACCTCCGAATGCGACCAATTATGTAAGTGTATTTATGTAAGTGCGTTTGTACGTGTATGTTTGGGGGTCTGAAATGGACTAATCTACTTCACAATATTCCTTATGGGAACAAATTCGGTCAGTATTGGCACCTGAACATACTTCTGGAGTGAAAAAATATCGTTAACCGGGGGTCCACTGTATTAATATTGCAGGCTATGAGAGAAGGTTTATGTACCAAGGTGATAATACTCAAGCTCTCTCTCCAGCTTAACAAATTATATATTACTGATCCAATCAAAACAGGAACACAAAATATTTCATGTTTGGTAAAACTTTATTTTCCTTTTTTTGTACATTACAAATGTAAAGAAATCCAAGTATTAAATACCAGAGGATATTTTTATCATTTTTATTTTTTGATAAAATGGACCCCCATCAAATTTTCTTTAAATTAGTGCAAAAAAAAAAAAAATTAAAAAGAAACAGCTTAAATATGATAAGTGGCTTTGTACAATATTCTAAATAAATCTATGAATGCTGTAGTCAGTACAGGGCACTTCTGAGTATTAGCTATTCTTACAAGTGACCTCTAGTGATTACTGCTGCAAATTAAAGAAAATATTCACAAAAAATAATAGCTTAATCAGTTAGATATACAATAATTATAAGATATTACATTCTTTTGGTTCAGCACAAACTACCTCTCTCAAAAACCCTCCTCTGAATTTTTCCTGTTTTGTAACTAAAAACCGGATAAGGTATATCATTCAAAACCCAATATGGTATGTGCATTTGATCCTTGTAATGACAGTCCTAAGCCGAATTCCAAACATTTAGGAAAGAGTCTTTCTTGTAGGCTGCTTAGGAAGCTTGACAAGGAACACATGATTGGATGTGGGTGCCTGCGACCTGTTGAAGAGTGCCTGATGGATCGTAGGGATGTCTGGTGCTACTCGACCATCATGTTTAAACCCTCTTAGGCTTGGTAGGCTTCTGTTCATGTTGCTGCTTCCACTGAGGGCAAGTAAAAAAATAAAAAATTAATCAAATGCTAGCATACACAAATGCAGAAAATTACACTATAAGTGAGTTACTTGATAAAACAACTAATGTAAGCAAGAAGATAGATATACAACAAACATAGCTTTAAATTCATATCATACTGAATTTTAACACACTGGCTGTCTCCCACCTAGGCAGGTGACCCAAAAAAGAAACTTTCACCAGCATTCACAATATCACTGTCTTGCCAAAGGCACAGATACACATGAATATTTGATAACTTGAGAGGCAAGTTATATGAATTAGTAATAAAAGAAAATTAGTACACAAAAAACACTAAATTATTTAATGTCTTATAAATTACTGTGCAGCATATACGAAGTACTAAATGAAACATGCAGTACCCTCCTTGCACCATCATTGAAGTTTTCACTTGCCATTAATGCTGGTCAGAAAAAAAACAAATTGGGAGGCTGAAGAAATTTCTTTTTACCAATTCATTGACTAAAATTTACGAAAACAGCAAAAATTTACACTTACTCTCAGATATAGTACCCAGTGCGCCCTCTATCGTCCCATGAAAAAGAAAAAGAATATTAGGATGTAAATCCACTTTGTATTTTCCAGAATTACAGTACAGGTAGTCTTCTACGATAATTTATCAACATTATGAAAAGACTGACATTTTACTCAAACTTTTCAATAAAATAGCCTAGTTTTCAAATATTAATTATTCCCAATTAGAGTTTAAATTTGAAATTCTTTTCAGAATTATTAGAGCACTATATTAAGAATGAAACTATAGACAGTTAAATTAACTGTTGTTGAAATTAATCAACCAGGAGGAGGCGGTGAAGTTTCTGAGCAGCAAGAAAGATTAAAGCAGATTAAAAAAAAGAGAAGTTTCAGTAAACCCTTGATTTAACAGACTAATAAAGAGGAGTGTGGCGCCAGTGATGATGACCGAGGTGGAGAGAGATGAGTGTGTTTTGCTGTGAACGTAACAATAATGGAAAATTCTGTAACCAATGCACTTTGTTTTGCAATCACTTGACCTCGAGGATTTTGTCCCACATTTCTGAAGTCCGTTAAATTGAGGGTTTACTATACAATGCTGTTTTTTTTTTTTTAACCACACTGGCCATGTCCCACCAAGATAGGATGACCCAAAGGAGGACACACATTTACCATCACACATTCAATATTTATGGTTTATATCTAATTCATATTTTCTTAATTGTGCACCACCTACAAGTACAGTATTTTGTGTTGTGATTAATCTTTCATATATGGTGAATGACATTTACAATATCACATTACACCCTCCAATTACTATCAACACTACAATGCCATTTATACACCAGTACATGGACTTAACAGTACTTTCCCCACACTTGACTTGGTGGAATCACTAATTTTTTAAAGTGCACATGTAGGCCAGAATATATTAACTGTTGCTGCCTCAACATATTTACACATCTTTTGCTTCCCTCTACTTTCATTATAAGAGTTAAAATGAAAGAAAACTAGAGAGAATATCATATACATAGTGCATGAGCTTGAGTGTTATATGTGAATTTCACGATAAATAAGCATGTTTGCAAAGGGTTCCTGCAACAATGTTTACAAATCTCTGTCCTTCCCCTGTGCAGGTGCACCTAGGCCATATCTGTACAGCTATTTTTCTACCGCACCATAATTCATCACGTAAACCTTCCAGGATCAGTCCCGTAATTCTATTGGTTTGAAGCCTAGGTCGATCCTCTAGTACTATCATGAGCTCAGCTCACTCGTAAGTTGTGAGCAGTAAATCTGAACCTAGATATGAGAGAATGGGGTCTGTGCAGTAAGTGTGCACTCTAAAAAAAAAAAAAAAAAATCCTGCGGCAAGCAGCACATAATGGGGAAAAAAAACTGACCGTGGTTTCGGTGGAAATGAGCGACTTTGGGTGTATTTTCGTATGATTGTATTCTCAGTTTCTTGGTCTCATTTCGTAGAATGGAAGATATATTACAGAAATAGAGATGCTTTTGATTGGTTTCTGGACTGAAAGTAGCTTGAAACTGAGCTCAAAGTAGCGGAAATGTTAGATTTTTGCCAATATTCCAAAGTACACAAATGACATCACTCATCCAATATGCATCCAACTAGCCAGTCTAATAAGCATATAGGAATGCACTGACATTATTTATATAATTACAATAATGCGGTAGTCTGCATAACAGTAAATCTTCTATTTTTTGTGTGAATAAAAAATCAAAATGGAAAACAAGCATAATACAGGAGAGGTCCTAAGGATATGACTAATGAACAGAGGGAATGTTGTTTTAGTACCAGGAATGTCTACACTGTTTATTTTGGACCCTATTTTGAAACTGGCAGTTTTTCAATTTTGTGTGAAATTGACAAAATTACCCATTTCTTGTTACTTTTATTAGGTAGTTGAAATAGGTAAATGGGAAGTTTCCTGTGATTAATTGATAGAGTAGAAGGAATACTAGAAAAATAGCAATGATTCTGGTTGACTGGAAGAATGGAATTGGCCCAAAATAGGGCTCAGTGGGTGAAATTGCTGATGCGTAACTATCGCAGAGACTGCTAACCTTGCGATAGCATAATTCCATAGGTTCTCCATCAAATTCCATACTTTTGGTTTCATTATTTGGAAAAACATTCTCTCATTTCATAAGATTTTTTTTGTTTTTAATTCTCCAACCCTGAGAGCAAGTTTCAGATCAGGGGTTCCGACCCTGAAAGGGTTAATAGTACAGTGGACCCCCGCATAACGATTACCTCCGAATGTGACCAATTATGTAAGTGTATTTATGTAAGTGCGTTTGTACGTGTATGTTTGGGGGTCTGAAATGGACTAATCTACTTCACAATATTTCTTATGGGAACAAATTCGGTCAGTACTGGCACCTGAACATACTTCTGGAGTGAAAAAATATCGTTAACCGGGGGTCCACTGTACTTGTAATTTTGATAATATCTTGAGAAGAACCCTTGAAATAACCAATGTGTTGCATGAATTAAATGGATATATTTACAAAAGCACATTGCTAGTCCATTGCATGGGGCTTAGGTAGCGTATACAGAACATGTATATCAGAGTTGGAAACTTCAATTACTAAAACCAGCTGTGAATTCAGCCCAAAACATTTTATTGGACTCGGAGTTACTCAAACTCCTTATGGCCAGGGCCATCCAAATCCTTCAATTTAATAACAACATGGTGATATCCTGAATGTTTTTGATAATAAAAGGCATGTGAAATTATTTTGTTCACCTACATAATTTAATACGAGTCAAATCAGCTCTACTGTATTTCTTGCATTATACCGTCTTCGTGACTGAAGCCTTTGTATTCAAAATACAGGTATGCTCTTAACAAGAAGTTGCTTCATTTCATATTATACTTAGAAAAAAATGTCTTTTAGCTTTGCAGAACCAGTAAGAAAATACACCCATACAATCACTCAACATACAAGTTACAGTAGTTTAAGTATAGTTGATGGCAATTTGATGACCAGTTGGTACTTAAAAAATAATTCCCAAAAAGTGGGGTGGCAACCTCCCAAGAAAGACTGGGTTTTATATGCATATAATGGCAGGAAAGGCACTTCACAGCTATTACTGTATAAAGATTATTAACCATGACCGAGCTCAAAATTCAGTGCCATACTCACTAGGCCATGGTTGCATCATTATTCATACCTCAATGATAATTCAGTAATTTATCCAAATGAGGACAGCTAATTAATTTAATTTATAAAATATTAAGAGTAGACAAAGCAAGGTGGAAAAGGAGAGTAAAACACAAAAGGATGATGCAGGAAAGTGGATAGAAAAAAGATTGAGAAACATTACAAGATGGGAAAGGATGCAATGAAGTAGTAGTAGAAAAATATTAGTGATACTAACCTGGCAGCTTTCAAAACTGATTTTGTCTGTGTTCTAGGAGCAGGAGGTGGAGCAGGTGGGGTAGACGTGGTCTTCTTGCCAACTACCGTCACACACATTGGCTGTCCATCAAGTTGTCGATTGTTGAACACTTCAACTGACCTACAGAATAAAAGTGTGTGTGTGTGTGTACATAAGAAGAAGAAGAGGTAACCTTTTATATACTGCTATGAACAGTTTGTTTGCTAAGAGTGCACTGGTATCCAGAATTCCTGTGATGCTACTGGTTGTGCAGGCATGTAAAAGATGAGTCACTGAATATCTCCAGTCTTTTCATAACTCAGGTGGGAAATGGGTTAACTGATAAGCTTTTGACCCTTTTAACAAATCACTATTAAAATATCTCAAAGGAGCCTCTCCCAGAGGATTCATCAAAAAGTTTGCATTAAAGTATGTTAGGTTCCATATACAAGTTTAAAGAAAACTTTTATATTTGATTCTTTTGTAGGATTTCTCATAGTTAATGGGCAGACAAATGGAAGAGTAAACACAGTGTGCCACTGGTATAACATTTGAAGCAAAAACCTACTAGCTAGCAAGCAATTCAGTTTTCAGTCAGCAATTTTTTTGCATATAAAAATCTATTAAAGAGAGCAAGGAGCTAGTAACCCTATATAACCCTATATAAATTACTAAATTTAAAAAGAAACTTTCGTTTTTCTGTTTAGGTTACCCTGCCTTGTTGGGATACAGCTGGTTTGTTGAAAAAAAAAAAATATATTAAACTATTATGAGTCATAAATTGTTTAAGAAATGGAGGTGTGGATTACATTTATCAACATTCTTAAGAAGGGTATCGACAGACATACCGTTGAAAAACTAGTCTGGAAAGTACATAACACAGGATAAATAAATGGAAAAACTTAAAATGGATGAAAAATTTTCTATCTCAAAGGTATGTAGAAAATAATACAGAGGAAAGTTTCACCTTAAAAAACTGAAGTTGACCACTGATTTTGCTTAAAAAAAAAAAAAAAACCACTTAAGGCAACATAAAACATAAGTTAATTTTAAGCCAGCCCGTAATGCTATGCATAGTATAAGTGGCTTTGGCATACTGCTCTTACCTGTATTTGTTGTACCTCTGTATGTGTGCTCAAATTTTTAAATAAAAAAAAATAAATAAAAAAAAAATAAATAAAACATTATATTCTGATCTGTGCCTTCACTGTGGTTACCTTGCTTATATGACCACCAGAGCTCTCAAAAATTCAGTATACAGTATATATGCACATTAAAATAATTAAGTACTGTAATGGAACTCATTCATGTATTCAGTGTGTTTTAAGTAAATAATTATTGCAAAACAGTTATTTTTATTTTATGAAAAAAAAAAAAAAAAAAAAAAAAAAGACAGCAGCAGTTTACCTATAAGCATCTTCCATATGCATGAAGACAGCCTCAGCAACTCCTTCCCTAACCATTCGAGCAGAGAGGATTGGTCCAATAGTTCCGAATAATTCTTCCATGTCTTCTACGCTTACACAGTGATGCAAATTGGTCACAAGAACCTATTTAAAATAAATGTGGTACATTACTTAATTTTACCCACACAATATTTTTAATTAATGATAATCAAAATAAAAAATATAGAAAATATTATTTCCTATGATATTTTGAGGTACATACTCCTCATTGCTGTCTGGTATACATTATCTTTGTTTGAAATACAACAGGGTAAATAAAATACAAATACATTCCTGTACTCCACTTATGCACTTCTACTTAGTGAGTTAAAGTGAACAGTACTACTACAGTACTATTATTCTGTAATGTACAAGTAAAGTTGTCTTACCAAGTGAAAATCATGTCTATATTCACTCATATTTTTTTTCCACAAATGTTTTCACTGAAACTTAACCATTATTTGTCTTAACATTTCTAAAATAAATTTATTTCAATAACATTCAGATCTTCCATCATATCTGGTGACAGATTCTCTTGTATTTTCCTCCACATTATCCATGTATCATTATAAACTTCTCTTCCATATACAGTAGGGCCCCACTTATACGGCAGGTTAGGTTCCAGGCTACCACCGTAAAGTGAAAATCGCCGTAAAATGGAACACCCTTTTTTTCCCTTATAAATGCATACAAATACTAGATAACAAGTTTACACTAACAAATATTAAGCTAGCAATAGAACTAGGCATGAAAAACAATAAAAAAGTACAATACACACATAGTGCACTCATTACTTACCTTAAAATATTTATAGTCTTAATCTAGGGTGAGACAAGTAGTATTTATTGTAAGAAATCAAGTGTGGTATGTATGGTAGTCATCCGGGTTATCATACCAGGCCACCCCACCCACACATACTATTCTATAATATTTAAGCATCCCAGAGCGATAAAATGCATATACAGTTCACTCATTACTTACCTTAAAATATTTGTAGTTTTAATGTACGGTCAGGGGTGAGTAAATGAGATAAAACGAATAAATGAGAGAGAGAGAGAATGAGTACATGAGGGAGGACTGGCACAGAATTATGTAAACAAACCAGGCGAACATAAGTTTTGTAGACAAACAGAGTGTACACGTCTGGTTTGTGTACAAGTTACACTGGGTACAAGTTGTCTTTACATTGATACAGTAGAATAAATAAAGAAGAACACTCCCATTCTCATGTAACACCATTTTTAGAAGAAATGACACTCTGAGTGAAGGCAATGGAAGTCACTCTGTCTGACTTTTTTCGGGTTATCCTAGGTTCTCTACACATATGCTGTTATGTATGATAATCTATGTAATTGTATTTGTGTATACCTGAATAAACTTACATACATACAAAAGGAATAATTTTCGATAGTTACCCCCAGTAACACATTTTTCTCCTATGTTAGATTAAAGAAAATGTTATTCTTGGTGTCACTTGTACAAGTTATCTGGCTACCACATCTCATATTTATGTTTAGTTATTTTATTGTGGGGTGTATTTATCATCTTTATATGTCATGTATCGTGTTTATTATATAATTTTGAAAAAATATCATGGATGAATAAATGAAAATGTGTATATTAACGTAATATACGACATTTAATGAGACTCGGTGATTATTATTATTATCATTTCTAATATGGCGTCGTTTGTGCAAGTCGTCTGGCTACCACATATCATATTTATGTTTAGTTATTCTATTAGGGGTGTATTTATCATCTTTATATGTTATGCATCGTGTTTATTATATAATTTTGAAAAAACATCATAAATGGATTAATGAAAATGTGTATATTAACGTAATATACGACATTTAACCCTTAAACGGTCCAAACGTATATATACGTTCACTCGTGTAGCGCCCCAAATTTTTTGAGGAAAAAAAAAAATTTTTTCTTTTAAAAGGAAAACAGAGCATATGGTACCCAGGCATCCCCAATTATTTTAATATGGAACACAATGAGTGCACACACCCATTCTCTCATGTTTAGGTGACTCAGGCTTATTGTGGCAATGTTGAATGAATGACAAAGAAAACGTATATATACGTTTGGGGCGCTACGCGCGTGAACGTATATATACGTTTGGACCGTTTAAGGGTTAAATGAGACTCGGTGATTATTATCATTACTAATATGACGTCTTCAGATATAAGACACTCTTACTGATTTTAATGTGTACCTGCACGCCAGCACAGTATGTAAGTTTATTTAGGTACAGCTATACATAAGTATAATTATCAGAGTATATATAAAATATAAAATAACTTTTAAAAAACACTTGAAATTTTGGAGTTCCCATACATAATGGAGAGACTTAGTGCTTACGGATTTCACAGAGAATGTAAACAAACTGGGTGGGGTGTGGTGACCAAATTAGAAAGTCAGGTGGGGGAAGCCGTATTGAGAGTTTTGGTCATAATTTGAAATGACCGTATTAGCGGAATGCCGTAAAGCGAAACTCCATAAAGCGGGGCCCTACTGTACTTCATTTCATATTGGCCTGATGCTTGTGTAATTTTTTTTTCTTATCTACTTCTCCTGTGTAAAGTTCACTGATGAATCACAATACTCAGTAACAAACTCTTATACCTTTCCTCCTTGTGATGCAGGAAGATGTTGTGGCTGGTCTAAACGAGCCATCAAACCAGATGATATAGGAGCTATCTTCTTGGGGCGGCTAAGGGATTCCACCTCTTCATCTTCATACAAAGGTCTGAAATAAAATGTGTTCCCAATGATTGTTTTTCAATTTCTTTTAATGCACCGATTGTCTCCCAGCAAGGTTGGTCAAGACCTACAGTATTGTGGGCAATATGACCTACTTCCACTGGGAAATCCAGCCTACCAGTGACAATGCCTTCATCTGCTACCCGTCCCCTTATTAACTTGACGGCAGTACATAAGCGCCAGCCTTCTTGCCCGTGCTCCACATTCTTCATGACTACGGTGCTCTTCACACCAACTGCAAGGCTGAGGGACTGATTACCTCATCTTTTGTATATAGTTCTACTGTCTTCAAATTATGTCCTAGAATTTGTATTGATTAAGCCAAAGTACTGTAGGTACTGCCCACAATACTGTGGGCAATACCTATGGTACTGTGGGCAATACCTACAGTACTGTGGGCAATACCTACAGTACTGTGGGCAATACCTACAGTATTGTGGGCAATACCTACAGTATTGTGGGCAATACCCACAGTACTGTGGGCAATACCTACAGTACTGTGGGTAATATCTACAGTACTGTGGGCAATACCTACAGTACTGTGGGTAATATCTACAGTACTGTGGGCAATACCTACAGTACCGTGGGCAATACCTACAGTACCGTGGGCAATACCTACAGTACCGTGGGCAATACCTACAGTACCGTGGGCAATACCTACAGTACCGTGGGCAATACCTACAGTACCGTGGGCAATACCTACAGTACTGTGGGCAATACCTACAGTACTGAGGGCAATACCTACAGTACTGAGGGCAATACCTACAGTACTTTGGGCAATACCTACAGTACTTTGGGCAATACCTACAGTACTTTGGGCAATACCTACAGTACTTTGGGCAATACCTACAGTACTTTGGGCAATACCTACAGTACTTTGGGCAATACCTACAGTACTGTGGGCAATACCTACAGAACTGTGGGCAATACCTACAGAACTGTGGGCAATACCTACAGAACTGTGGGCAATACCTACAGAACTGTGGGCAATACCTACAGAACTGTGGGCAATACCTACAGTATTGTGGGCAATACCTACAGTATTGTGGGCAATACCTACAGTATTGTGGGCAATACCTACAGTATTGTGGGCAATACCTACAGTATTGTGGGCAATACCTACAGTATTGTGGGCAATACCTACAGTATTGTGGGCAATACCTACAGTATTGTGGGCAATACCTACAGTATTGTGGGCAATACCTACAGTATTGTGGGCAATACCTACAGTATTGTGGGCAATACCTACAGTATTGTGGGCAATACCTACAGTATTGTGGGCAATACCTACAGTATTGTGGGCAATACCTACAGTACTGTGGGCAATACCTACAGTACTGTGGGCAATACCTACAGTACTGTGGGCAATACCTACAGTACTGTGGGCAATACCTACAGTACTGTGGGCAATACCTACAGTACTGTGGGCAATACCTACAGTACTGTGGGCAATACCTACAGTACTGTGGGCAATACCTACAGTACTGTGGGCAATACCTACAGTATTGTGGGCAATACCTACAGTATTGTGGGCAATACCTACAGTATTGTGGGCAATACCTACAGTATTGTGGGCAATACCTACAGTATTGTGGGCAATACCTACAGTATTGTGGGCAATACCTACAGTATTGTGGGCAATACCTACAGTATTGTGGGCAATACCTACAGTATTGTGGGCAATACCTACAGTATTGTGGGCAATACCTACAGTATTGTGGGCAATACCTACAGTATTGTGGGCAATACCTACAGTATTGTGGGCAATACCTACAGTATTGTGGGCAATACCTACAGTATTGTGGGCAATACCTACAGTATTGTGGGCAATACCCACAGTATTGTGGGCAATACCCACAGTACTATGGGCAATACCCACAGTATTGTGAGCAATACCGACAGTATTGTGGGCAATACCTACAGTATTGTGGATAATACCCACAGTATAGTGTGCAATACCTACAGCATTGTGAGCAATACCTATGGTATTGTATTCAAGACCTATGGTATTATTGGTCAAGACCTATGGTACTGTGTTCAAGACCTCAGTATTGTGGCCAAGACTACAGTATTGTGGTCAAGACCTATAGTTACTACAGATTACCACACTAACATTCAACCCCCTTACCTCTTTTTGGCTGGAAGCCTGACTGCTAATCTTTCAGGAATTTCTGAATGAAGTCTTCCCCCAGGTGTTCTAGTTGGCAGTCTCATTGGTAATCTGGGTTGGGAGTCCCATTCATCACTATATTGTGGACTTGGTTCCTGTTACAAATAAGATACCAAAAAAAAAAAAAAAATTATTTATCACATTGTAGATAGGGGTGTTGACCCCCAGAACCCTCTCCAGGTATAATACAGAGCATATTTTCCAATGCTTAATAAACATGAATCTGTGTGCATCTAAAAAAAAAAAAAAAAAAAAAAAAAAATCTAATTTTCATTCTGTAATGTCATTAACTATTAGTGATGATAATTCAATGGCTATGTCCCACCAAGGTAGGGTGGTTTACTTTCCCTTCCAGAAAAAGGAAACACATCATCTTCATCATTTAAATCAACTGCTGTCTTGCCAGAAATGTGCTGATACCACACTCAGAATACCATCTGACTGCAACATCCTCACCCCTTTCTTCAGAGTGCCTGCACTATGGAGGAGGGGGTGAGGATGTTACAGACTGCCAGATTCAACTCTGGCTAACTGGTTTCCCTAAATCTCTTCTTAAACGTTACCACCTCACACTCCAACAGTACCTATGTCCATTAGCCCTTTCACTATCCAGACCCCTGAAATTAACAATGCTCCCAGTGTCACTTTAATGATCGATAAAGCAAAAGAAACTGCCATTCAACTATTACAACTCCATAAAGTGAACAGAAGTTGGTAATTTGGCCAATTTTACACAAAATTAAAATAAGCATGAAAAATAAAGTGTAGACATTCTTGGTGCAAAAATATTCTCTGTTCATTAATCACATCCTCAGGCCTCTCCTATATTACGTATATTACACTGGCCTTCCACTCTGAATTCATAATCACACAAAAATAGATTTATTCCATTTCCTAGATACTAAAATATAACCAAGAATAATTAAGTCATAGTTTACTGCATTCCAATAATTGAATGAAGCCTAATAAAAACCCACAAAACAGACTGAGGGGATGAAAGGGGGCCTTACCTGTCCTTGGGAAAATCGACCAAAATTTTAATATTTCCACTACTTTGAGCCCAATTCAAATAATTTTTATGATTTGTAAAATCCTCACCTATCCTTCTGAATGTAGGCATTGTATTTCCTACAATCAGAACTCGTCTGGCTGGCCGAATTCTTATTAAATGCCTTCATAAGTATAATAATTGCTCATTCCAATAGCACGTTAAATTCCCTCAAAATTACGTTGGATCTAACACTCTCACAGGCCTGCTGGATAGTTGGATCTTAATTTTGTTTCAATATGCTTGTTATCTCCCACAAACGTTGGGTGACCCGAAAAAGAAACACTTCCACCATCATTCACACTATCATTATGAGCAGATATGACAGTTCAGATATCCCTCCAATGAGCAAATATTTCAAACTTCCACTATAATAATTACCCTGTAATTATTGGCAGTGGTGATTTTCAGCCGAGTTGGTCGTATCTCCTCCAGTTCTGGTGACCTCCTCAGTCGATAAATTGGGGACCTTGAATGCGATAGAAAATCTGATCGCATTCCACTTAAACCGTAATTTTGTGCAACCGTGTTAAGGCCCAGTGACCTATAGGATGGGCTTCGTGCAGTCAACTTAATCCGTGCAGGCCTCATCTCCTGTTGCCTGTAACTGTACAATACACAGATTAGAGAGAGATCATGGAAAAACATCATATGAGCATTTCTTGCAATAATATCCCAAGGAGACAATTTTCTATTTTATCTTAAAAGTGAGCTCAAAATAAAATAAAAACTGAAAAATCATCAAAATAACATGCATTAATAATACTGGGAGATCTTGGCCAATGAAAAAATACAATGCAGTATGCGGGCTTCCTCTCTAAATAAATATTACTTGCTTTTAATTTTCACAAACAGACTGGAGCTGAACAGTGAAAATTGATAAATCAATGCTCAAACAAAACCTTCAGAGGTGAAAGCCCGAAGGTGGGTTAGTCTATTTCTAGTAGAAACACTGAAGAATACGATAAAAAACAATTATTACTTTTTTTAACCCTTAAACGGTCCAAACAAATCGACGTTCAAATTCGTAGTGCTACAAAAGCAGATCTACTTTTTTTTTTTACATATTTTCAAATATAACAAAAAAAAAAAAAAATGTAGATAAAAGTTTTTTTACACGTTTTCAAATGTAAAACAAAAAAGAAGATCTACATTTTTTTACATACTTTCAGATGTTGAAAAAACGTATATATACGTTTAGACCACTTAAGGGTTAAACAAACCAGCAGTCTCCCACTAAGATAGTGTTAGGAAAGGAAAAAAAAAAAAAATACATATTCACCATCGTTCATTCAACTGCTGTCTTGTTAGAAATGTGCTGATATCATAGTTCAGTGATTATGTGTGAGTGAGGTGAAAGTGTTGAATGATGATGATGAAAGTATTTTCTTTTTGGGGATTTTCTTTCTTTTTGGGTCACCCTGCCTCAGTGGCAGACGGCCTACTTGTTAATAATAATAATAATAATAATAATAATAATAATAATACGTAATAATAATCATTGTTCAGGTGACCCTCAGCACTGCAACATCCTCACCCCCCTTTCAACGTATTCCTCATCTCCAGGATTCAAGTCTGGCATCAAGTCCATGAATCATTTCATAAATAAAACTTTACTCGACTCACGAAATTGTAATGACACGATTGCAAACAAACCATACCCCGGCCGGGATTGAACCCGCGGTCAGAGAGTCTCAAAACTCCAGCCCGTCGCGTTAGCCACTAGACCAGCTAGCCACAATAAGATTCGTCCAACTAGGTATATTTCTACACCATAGGAAGGTTAGAACAGGCACCACTGTAACCACAAATGCAAGTTTTTACAGACGAATCTCCACCTAGCTTGGCCGTGACGAACTCTAGCTCAAGTCCCTTCAATGCCGTCAACATGACTCACGAAATCGTAATGACACGATTGCAAACAAACCATACCCTGGCCGGGATTGAACCCGTGGTCAGAGAGTCTCAAAACTCCAGCCCGTCGCGTTAGCCACTAGACCAGCTAGCCACAATAAGATTCGTCCAACTAGGTATATTTCTACACCAGTCATGTTGACGGCAGTGAAGGGACTTGAGCTAGAGTTCGTCACGGCCACGCTAGCTGGAGATTCGTCTGTAAAAACTTGCATTTGTGGTCACAGTGGTGCCTGTGCTAACCTTCCTATGGTGTAGAAATATACCTAGTTGGACGAATCTTATTGTGGCTAGCTGGTCTAGTGGCTAACGCGACGGGCTGGAGTTTTGAGACTCTCTGACCGTGGGTTCAATCCCGGCCGGGGTATGGTTTAATACTTTACTCATTATATTTATCATTATTAAAATCATGGGGGAAATGCTAAAACCATAGGGATCATACTGGATGAGGAAGAGGAGGTGACCTTCAGTTTCTTGGATCTCGAGCCCTTCACCAGCATCAAGGTAACTCCCACCCCCTCCTTGAAGGGGAGGTTGTAACCAGGAAACTCCATGTATACAACATTGACACATTTATACAACAATTCTGAGTTTTCTTTTAACATGTTGGCCATCTCCCACCGAGGCAAAGGTGACCCAAAAAAGAAGCACCATCATCATTCACACTATCACTGTCAAATTTATATTTCTTAACTAGAATCCAGTGCTACATGTCTTGGATATTATTCTAATTAATTTTTGCTTTTAATATCCCATCACTACACTAGTAAACATGTTTTAGCTTTCATCTGACATGTTTAAATAATATTTAGCTTTTCCCAAATTATATACAAGACTATCAAAATTTAAAAAAAACTTCAGTCCTGAATTTGACCTTAGCACAATTTTTCTTTTGTGTTGCTACTATTATAATTTGGCCATCACGTAACGACAAAAAATAAAAGAACACATTTAACATATGTAAACCCATTATATCTATTATTCTAGGGTATAGCAATCAGTGGCATATGCTGGTTATTGTCACAGGGTGTGTACTGTGCTACAGTGCTGAACCTACTACCCTGGCATAAATATTACTCAAAACAACTGACACAATATTTCATAACAAGGGACAGAAAAATTAGTTTACCATTATGATTCATGATTATATTACCGAGTAAGCTTAATATTTATGATGAATTTATTAATTAATGCACAAAACAGTGCTGCAGCAACATAAGAGAAAAATCCTTTGTTTCTATATAGCCTATTATATGGTTACAGAGTACAAATAGGCCTATATAGGGAAAATCATTGATTTTGATGATGTGATAGATGATTTTGCAGGATTGAAGGGAAGGAAATGCAAGATCAGATTCACTGAGATGTTACCTGTACTCAAGGTCAAATCGGAACTAGTGTTTCTCTGATATTGCAATGTTTTTCTTTATTTTTAATTTTTTTTTTTTTGCACTGTTGAAGATGAATAAATGTAGGATCTGTTGGCTGTACTCAAAGTGGTATTTGAGTTTATGTTTCCTCAATATTACTATGATTATTTATTTTATCATTAATGAAGTTGAAAAGTATTCTGTTCAGTTTATGGCCCTTAAATGTTCTCATTGCTAAACATTAGTCATTGATCATGCAGTAGTGATATGACTGGTGTTTACTCCCCCCCCCCATCGCCCGGCCCTTGGATTTCATGGGGGTGACACCAAAGATGCCACCCCGGGTGACACCAAATATTTCGCCCTGTTTGACACCAACCCTAGCGACACCACTGAACAAGAGTCTTCAATAAAAGGTAAGTTATGTTAAATGCTCATTTATCCATTTCATCAGTCCTTTATATTTATTTCTCATTGTTTTCTGTGTGTAAAACTATAGTTATTCTCTATAAAAAAAAAAATTTCAACAAGTCAGCTGTCTCCCACCTAGGCAGGGAGTATATCATGACCCAAAAAGAAAGAAAATCCCCAAAACGAAAATTCTTTCATCATTCAATACTTTCACCTCACTCATACATAATCACTGTTTGTGCAGAGGTGCCCAGATACAACAATTTAGAAGCATATATAAAGATACAATATAAAAAGTGACCTGAAATAATATAACAAACTCCATATAGAATACAATATCAGGGGCCCAACTATATATATACCATCCTATTACACATCCCTCCAAACTGCCAATATCCCAAATCCCTTTTGGGTGTCTGGAATGGATTAATTGGATTTACATTATTTCTTATGGGAAATATTGCTTCAGTTTTCGTCAGACTTTCTGGAACGAATTAAAGACGAAAACGGAGTTTTCACTTTATTGTAAAATACCAACTGTACAATATACTAAATTATATTAAACAAAAATGAGGAATTGCACATGAAGGCATATTGAAAATCTATTTCTATTTTCTATTATCACACTGGCCGATTCCCACCAAGGCAGGGTGGCCCGAAAAAGAAAAACTTTCACCATCATTCACTCCATCACTGTCTTGCCAGAAGGGTGCTTTACACTACAGTTTTTAAACTGCAACATTAACACCCCTCCTTCAGAGTGCAGGCACTGTACTTCCCATCTCCAGGACTCAAGTCCGGCCTGCCAGTTTCCCCGAACCCCTTCATAAATGTTACTTTGCTTACACTCCAACAGCACGTCAAGTATTAAAAACCATTTGTCTCCATTCACTCCTATCAAACACGCTCACGCATGCCCGCTGGAAGTCCAAGCCCCTCGCACACAAAACCTCCTTTACCCCCTCCCTCCAACCTTTCCTAGGCCGACCCCTACCCCGCCTTCCTTCCACTACAGACTGATACACTCTTGAAGTCACTCTGTTTCTCTCCATTCTCTCTACATGTCCAAACCACCTCAACAACCCTTCCTCAGCCCTCTGGACAACAGTTTTGGTAATCCCGCACCTCCTCCTAACTTCCAAACTACGAATTCTCTGCATTATATTCACACCACACATTGCCCTCAGACGTGACATCTCCACTGCCTCCAGCCTTCTCCTCGCTGCAACATTCATCACCCATGCTTCACACCCATATAAGAGCATTGGTAAAACTATACTCTTGTACATTCCCCTCTTTGCCTCCAAGGACAAAGTTCTTTGTCTCCACAGACTCCTAAGTGCACCACTCACCCTTTTCCCCTCATCAATTCTATGATTCACCTCATCTTTCATAGACCCATCCACTGACACGTCCACTCCCAAATATCTGAATACATTCACCTCCTCCATACTCTCTCCCTCCAATCTGATATCCAATCTTTCATCACCTAATCTTTTTGTTATCCTCATAACCTTACTCTTTCCTGTATTCACCTTTAATTTTCTTCTTTTGCACACCCTACCAAATTCATCCACCAATCTCTGCAACTTCTCTTCAGAATCTCCCAAGAGCACAGTGTCATCAGCAAAGAGCAACTGTGACAACTCCCACTTTATGTGTGATTCTTTATCTTTTAACCCCATGCCTCTTGCCAAGACCCTCGCATTTACTTCTCTTACAACCCCATCTATAAATATATTAAACAACCACGGTGACATCACACATCCTTGTCTAAGGCCTACTTTTACTGGGAAATAATTTCCCTCTTTCCTACATACTTTAACTAGAGCCTCACTATCCTCGTAAAAACTCTTCACTGCTTTCAGTAACCTACCTCCTACACCATACACCTGCAACATCTGCCACATTGCCCCCCTATCCACCCTGTCATATGCCTTTTCCAAATCCATAAATGCCACAAAGACCTCTTTAGCCTTATCTAAATACTGTTCACTTAATACAGTAAATATACAAATAAAGTACTCAAGCCATACCTGTTTAACTCTGGAATATATGAGTTATATAACTCGGCTTTCTCATTCTTGATTGTGACAACATGAGGATTATTTGGTAATGGATGATATCGGCTACTATCACTAGCTGGTTTTGCAACAGATCGTGTTCTACCATTGTTAGGCAACTTTCTTGTCAGGACATCAGATCTTCCTCGAGCTGCAATATTTTTTCCTCCAGCCGTATCTCTACCAGCCACTGTCCGCAACAAGAAAGATCCTTGCATACGTGTCTTGCCTTTTAAATCTGTCAAAAAAATGAAAATAATTTTTTCCATCAAATCCTAATAAAAATTGAGAGCAAAACTAAAGCTACTGATCCACAGGGTGATACACAAGTTACCTCGTGCTATTACTGTTTCATGTCATATATCAGGTTAATATACTGGCAGTACAACTAACCTGATGCATGGTTTTCATTCCGTATGCTTTTTTCAACTACAGTTGTATTCTTCCAAGCAACTGGGTTCTGTAAAATAAAAAATATTGTACTATCATTTCAGAAAGAATAAGATGACAAAAAACAAATCTTTCCTTTTTTTACTCTAACACTAATGGATTAATATAATTAATATTCTACACTAATATATCTCCATGCATCTGCTTCACGTGTGTACCTTTATGATGTCAACAAAGAAAACCCCTTAACGCACCCCACAAAAGGCTAAAAAGTTAAGAAAAAGCCATGGTTCTCACAGAGATGATACAAAAATTCCCTGACCTACATAATTTAACCAAAAGGCTCAAGTTTGAAAAAAAAAAAATTCAGCATGTCAGCAGTCTCCCACAGAGGCAGGGTGACCCAAAAAAGAAAAACCATTTCACCATCATTCACACATAATCAATGTCTTTGCAGAGGCACCCAGATATGACAATTTAGATGATACTCCAAACAGCCAATATCCCCAGTCCCTCCCTTAAAGTGCAGGCATTGTACTTCCCACCTCCGGGACTCAAGTCTGGCTAACCAATTTCCCTGAATCCCTTCACAAAATATTACCCTGCTCACATTCCAATAGCTCATCAGGTCCCAAAAACCATTAGTCTCCTTTCACTCCTATCTAACATGCTCACACATACCTGCTGCACACTCAAGCCTCTTGCACACCAACCCTCTTTTACCCCATCCTTTCCTAGGATGATCCTTACCCCTCCACTACAGATTTATACACTTCCAAGTCATCCTATTTTGCTCCATCTTCTCTAAATGACCAAACCACCTCAACCACACCTCTTCAGCCCTCTGGATAATACTTTTAATAACCCCACACCTCCTAATCTCCAAGCTACAAATTCTCTGCATAATGTTTACACCACACATTGCCCTCAGACACTACATCTCCAGTGCCTCCAGCCTTCTCCTTGCCGCAACATTCACAACCCATGCTTTACACTCTTTTAAGTGTTGGTATCACTATACTCTCATACTTTCCTCTTTTTGTCTCCATGGATAATGTTCTTTGTCATCACAGATGCCTCAATGCACCATCCACCTCCCCCCCCCATTATCAAATCTATGGCTCACCTCGTCGTTCATAGACCCAGTATTTTTTTATTATTTTATTTATTATCACACTGGCCGATTCCCACCAAGGCAGGGTGGCCCGAAAAAGAAAAACTTTCACCATCATTCACTCCATCACTGTCTTGCCAGAAGGGTGCTTTACACTACAGTTTTTAAACTGCAACATTAACACCCCTCCTTCAGAGTGCAGGCACTGTACTTCCCATCTCCAGGACTCAAGTCCGGCCTGCCGGTTTCCCTGAACCCCTTCATAAATGTTACTTTGCTCACACTCCAACAGCACGTCAAGTATTAAAAACCAGTTGTCTCCATTCACTCCTATCAAACACGCTCATGCATACCTGCTGGAAGTCCAAGCCCCTCGCACACAAAACCTCCTTTACCCCCTCTCTCCAACCTTTCCTAGGCCGACCCCTACCCCGCCTTCCTTCCACTACAGACTGATACACTCTTGAAGTCATTCTGTTTCGCTCCATTCTCTCTACATGTCCGAACCACCTCAACAACCCTTCCTCAGCCCTCTGGACAACAGTTTTGGTAATCCCGCACCTCCTCCTAACTTCCAAACTACGAATTCTCTGCATTATATTCACACCACACATTGCCCTCAGACGTGACATCTCCACTGCCTCCAGCCTTCTCCTCGCTGCAACATTCATCACCCATGCTTCACACCCATATAAGAGCGTTGGTAAAACTATACTCTCATACATTCCCCTCTTTGCCTCCAAGGACAAAGTTCTTTGTCTCCACAGACTCCTAAGTGCACCACTCACTCTTTTTCCCTCATCAATTCTATGATTCACCTCATCTTTCATAGACCCATCCGCTGACACGTCCACTCCCAAATATCTGAATACATTCACCTCCTCCATACTCTCTCCCTCCAATCTGATATTCAATCTTTCATCACCTAATCTTTTTGTTATCCTCATAACCTTACTCTTTCCTGTATTCACCTTTAATTTTCTTCTTTTGCACACCCTACCAAATTCATCCACCAATCTCTGCAACTTCTCTTCAGAATCTCCCAAGAGCACAGTGTCATCAGCAAAGAGCAGCTGTGACAACTCCCACTTTGTGTGTGATTCTTTATCTTTTAACTCCACGCCTCTTGTCAAGACCCTCGCATTTACTTCTCTTACAACCCCATCTATAAATATATTAAACAACCACGGTGACATCACACATCCTTGTCTAAGGCCTACTTTTACTGGGAAATAATTTCCCTCTTTCCTACATACTCTAACTTGAGCCTCACTATCCTCGTAAAAACTCTTCACTGCTTTCAGTAACCTACCTCCTACACCATACACTTGCAACATCTGCCACATTGCCCCCCTATCCACCCTGTCATACGCCTTTTCCAAATCCATAAATGCCACAAAGACCTCTTTAGCCTTATCTAAATACTGTTCACTTATATGTTTCACTGTAAACACCTGATCCACACACCCCCTACCTTTCCTAAAGCCTCCTTGTTCATCTGCTATCCTATTCTCCGTCTTACTCTTAATTCTTTCAATAATAACTCTACCATACACTTTACCAGGTATACTCAGCAGACTTATCCCCCTATAATTTTTGCACTCTCTTTTATCCCCTTTGCCTTTATACAAAGGAACTATGCATGCTCTCTGCCAATCCCTAGGTACCTTACCCTCTTCCATACAGTATTATTATTATTAATTTTAGTACCATATAGAGTATATTTTTCTAGACATTTAATATCTAGCAATGACAATGGTGTATCTATCATGAAACGTGCACAGGCAATGTACATAACAAACCAAAACATTTTTGTAGTCAAAATGGTACATATGTACAGTACAGTACTAGTTTACTGAATATACAGATACTGTATATATTATTTTTTTGTTTAACACTAACTGAAACAATTGAAACAGCATACTTTATTTATTCTGTTGGTCACTGTGCCGGAGACTTTCCTGATCTTATTGATCTTTTCACGTGCATCTCCCTGCTTAGCAATTTCTGCAAGACGATCACGGGCATCTGGGAATCGCTCCCTTTTCTTCTGAATAATTCTGTTCCGTGCATCACCAACCACCTGAAATTGTGTTTGCCTAAAATTACACATGCATCTACTATTACAATCTGCATATATAAATTCAGTTAATAATTATTTTTGATGCCAATTCAACATATAAAAAATTATAAACCTTAATTATGCACCTGAGGCTCAACTTCCATATCTGAATGGACTGGCTGATATTGGCGTGCTTTAACAAAAGGACGGCCTCTTCCAATGGCACCACTCAAGTCATTTCTGAAATAAAAAATGTAAATGAAATTTAGCAGTTTGTAAAATATCTTATTCTAAAACTAACAATAAAATTCTGATCTCTCATTTTTGTGGCCCACTTTACTACACATCCAATAATCCCACACCATCACTTGACCATTCTTGAAAACCTGGCCAGGGACAAATCTATCATTGTCACCACCACCAATAAATTATAATATTAAAAAAAAAAAAGAAGAGCTAAACCTACAAAGGCCACACAGCAACCACCACCAATGAGAGAGATGGTTTATTTAGGCACAGGTACACAATACAATTATCACACTGTAAATTACCTAGGATAAACCAAAAAAAATTCAGACACGGACTTATTTCGATTAGGGTCCTTGTTATTTCCACTGGGGTACGATCTAGGGAAAGAATAATTCCTCGGAACAAGAGCCAGTCACCAGCATCAAGGTACCTCCTTAGAGCGTCATACTTCTCTAAAATGTCTCATTTTATTACAGTATGTGAGTATTGAGACAGCAGTGCACTTATAATAGTGAAGTGGTCCACTGATGGCTGACCCAGACACTTGCTCTCCACCAAGTGATTCACACTTCCCTAATATAACATACAATTTTATCATTGTGAGTGTCCATTATCCTAGCACACGAAACCATCTTAGTCACATTGCTAACACAATCAGCTCTTAGATCATTATTAATCCCCAGCGGCTTACAGACATGATAAACACGCTCGGGGGGAGTCCGTTATAAACCATCCATAAATCAATAGATAATCCTTATTAAACCTCCTAAACACCTTAGCTAGAAGGTCAACTCATTACACAATTTTCTAACCTCCCACAGGACTCGTACCTATTTGCTGGTAACAGTCCCGAGCGAATTTTGCGCTGTTTGATAATGTCATCCAAGCTTGAGTCGGCCATGTTTGTTTGTGACCGCAGGAACTGGAGTCAACTGAGACTTCCTCAACTCCACCAACTCACCTTCAAACAACAAAAAAAGACGAATCCATACATTCTCTAATTACTCGTATTTTTTGAATTTACTGAGTGTGGCTAGTACCATAATGATGTTATTATTTTTGGGCGGGGTGAAGTTAGATAGGTTCTGATATGATTGTTGTTGTTTTGGTGGAGCAACGCATTTTGTGCCGTGGCTGCTCACTCTCACTCACTCTCACTCTCACTCTCACTCACTATGTCCAACGAGGAGAAGGAAGGTGACTATCAGTGCTCACCGCCCCGCTTGACTGCAGGGATGGCTGCTCACCCGCTAATATGGCACTTAAAGACAGTAGATGAAGGTTAAAGGTAGAGAGGTAGAGGTTGGTGAGGTGATCAGCTGTTGTGATGACAAGGCACATGGAACTTTATTCCTCTTTATTTGATGATTTATTTTGTTTTGTCACGCAGTGTAAAAATTCATTTACAGTGTATATATAAAGGATTTGTATTTAAACTATAATGATTACAAATTGCGTAGTCATTTTTAATTATACGAAAGCGATTATAGGCCGCTATTACTCAAGGCCTACATATCCTCCTTAGGCCTACTGTCTTCCCTCAGGAAATATGCTCGGGATTGAATTTTTTTATTTTTTTAATTTTTCACGAATTGGTACATTCTAGAAAGATCTTAGGAGAATTTCTACACTCAGCAGTTAAATTGTTAAAATCTGCAAATTTGTCCTATTTATAGTCTCTACCTAAATTAATTGATATTAAAAGTATAGTACTAAGTTTAGGTTCAGTGTTCTAATATATCTGTAAACATATATTGAGTAAAATCTTAAAATATATTTTAGTATAAGACCATTCCTCTGTAAGTTGGACATACATGAATATTTTTTGATAACTTACTGCCTATTTACACCACAGAATAAAGTTTTTTCATATGAAATTTTTTATGTAGGGAGTTATTAAAAATGATCTTTTATGTTGAAAATAACATAAATACTGACAATTTAATGAGTAAGACACGTGCAACAGTTGGGCATCTTTATTGTTGAAATGTTTTACCTACAAAGTTGGCTCCATCTGTCAAATACAGAGGAGAATGTATTGTAGGCAACAGGAGGAGTGGTGAGGTAAAGATGATGCAGTCAGTCCATTGACCTTTTAGAAATAGTTTGAGGTGGTCAGTCCCTCAGCCTGATGAAGCCTACAGCATAGGCAAGACATTTTAATAATAAAAATACCCAACTGTTGCACTTGTGTCTAACTCATCAAAGATCCTTTATTTTGTCTCAAATGCTACATCAGGACTAATCAAAGGTTAGTGTTTGAGCTAGTCAACATGTTTAACCAGTCATAGCAAACAATATGATACTGTACTTAAAATTCTTGATACAAAATAAAGTATGTACAAGCTATATTGTGAACACTTTATGCACTATTACCTTTTCTTCAGATTTACTCTAATCAAATGTTCTTGTATATTTTTGTGCTGTTTATTTTATATTATTTAGATTAGTTTATGCTGTTTAGTTTATTGATATTAGAGATGTTTTCTTCCACAGGGATTAGGATCTTACATTTATCCAAATAGAAGTGGTTTTGTCACTTTACCCAGATCATCCTATCCAAATCATCCTGAAGCTTCATGTGCCCCACCAGGCCACACTGTTAGCCCTGGAGCAGTATACCATTGTACATTTTTTGGCCTAGAGCATTCAGGAATGGCTGACTCATAACCATTCCAGGCACAAGGAAGTGGAGCTCTGTTGGCCTTGGGTAATAAATGAGTAGTCATGGAGAAATGATTTGTGTGATGTAGTAATAAAGGTAGAATTACTGACAAAATGTTTGGTAAATGGACACAAATGCAGCTAATGTGACATTTTATTGTGGCAAGTTTTTGCTCTCCAGGAGCTTTGTCAAGCCCTGGAGAGTGAAACTTTGCCAAAATAAAATGTCACATTAGTTGCATCTGTGTCCATTTACCTAACATTGTATGAAGTACATGCTACAGTAGGCTAAGGCCTCAATGACTTCCTGGGCAAAGTACAGTTATGTTATGGGAGAAGAGCAAATGAGCAGTAAATTGTATAAGGTTTGGCAGGATATGGGTGTTTGGCCCTCTGCAGATTAAAGAGAATGCTCATTCTTATTACCCATGGATACCTTCTTGCAGGGAATCTTTCAACTAGTGTACCTCTTGACTGCTAGGCAAACATTAATTGCATGCCCCAGGCTTTTTTTTCTTTTAGATTTGGGCATGGCAAGTCAAAATGTCTTTGTATATCTTTTAGAGCTGTGCATTACATTTAAACGGAGATGAATGAGATATATTTCAATACTTGCATTTCCAAATTGAGGCTATGTTGCAGTACATAAATGTATTACTGTTTGTGTTTCTATGTTAAAATTTTTATTTGTATCTTACACTAAATTTTTCTTGTGCAGTTACCAGTAGTGATGAAAAATCTAATAGTAAGGAATGTGAGAGCAGCAAAACTACTGCAGATAGTACATGTGAAGCGGGTAATACAACTGATGGTGTAACTTCAGACAGCCAACCACAGAGCTCAGAAGAAGCAGTACATCCTGACACAAATGAGGTTAAGCCAGACACTCAAGTGAGTATTGTATAAGTATTAACTTGATAGTACTGTATTAACAATTAATGAAAATTTTAGTGTTTTCTATGAAAATGCATTTTTAATCTTAGAAAAAATCCTCTAGACAATATTGTCTTTACATCCTTTTTTTTTTTCTTTATAATTTCAAACTACTGGTGTTCCATGATTGACTTATTTACACATTTTTATTAATACATTAATTTTTTTAAATGAACAAATTCTTATTATAAAAAAAGAACACTAAACTCATATGGGTCAATCAACACTGCATATTAAGCTACTTGACAGCAGCCTTTGAAACATTTTCCAGTACATTATATATACAATATAATTTTTTTTTAGAAACAACCCACTTGGACAAAGTTTTCTTTCATCTTTTCCTCCAGTCTGAAGCCCTACCATCTGGGGAAGCAGTAAGCTTTAAACTTGTCTACAATAAGACAAAATATGATATAGAATTTCCTTTCGATGGCACAATCAAACAGTTGAAGGAGCACCTAAGTTCGATAATTAGTGAGTATTTTGCAGCATTGTTACTAAGTAAGTGTAGAAACTTGTCATGCACCTGGTATTGCTGTAAAAAAATTTTAAAAATGTTATTCATTTTGAGTGGCATGTGGCAGATACCAAAAGATTTACGAAAGGTAAACTATCCTATGTTTTATAAATTGAAGAAAGTGTTTTGTACTGTATCTGTACTGTATACAGTGCTTTTATTTCATTTGATTTTTTTTTTATCTTTCAGATGTGTTACCAGCAATGCAAAAAGTGATGATCAAAGGGCTGGCCAAAGATGAGAAGACACTTAGGGAATTAGGAGTAACACGAGGGGCTAAGGTTATGGTAGTGGGCTCCAAGCTCGATGATGTAGTCAGTGTTAATACTCCAAAATCAGATGTAAGACATACAATGCTTGTTATATTATTTTTGGCATTAAGATACAATAATAACAGTGCTTACATACAGTATGTATTATTTTATGTAACTTAAAAATACCTCGGATTTTCATCTTGATAATTATGATACTTAATGTTAACTTGGAATATTGTATTATATGTTGACATATTCATCACTTTCATACAACATTTTTAAGAGACTTTTTAGGTTGAAGGTAAATATGGATTGAGAAGACAAACTCAGATTTGATTTTTCAAATGATATTGAAGTGATGTAGTAACTATAGAATTATATAGATTATTAGTAAATCTAGATATTGTGTATGCTTTTTGTAATTGGTATCTTTATTCGTATTATGCACAAAAACAAATAAAAAAAACACTTATGCATGCACATGTGCACAAGCTGACACACACACACACACACACATACATATTTGCATGTGTTTGTGTGCGTGTGCGCATGTGTTTGTGTGATAATTATTGATTTTATTTTTTATATAATTTTTATTTGACTTGCAGAGTGCTTCGTCAGAGAAGCCAAGCACCACTACTTCAACAAAAGAACCACTCAGTAGACAAAAACTCCATCGTAAGATTCTTGATAAAGGGTTGCCAGACGATGTCATGCCAGGAATTAAGAACAGTAAGGTACCACTACGAGAGAGAAAGTTGTATGTGTTCTGAAAATACTTTAACCCTTTCAGGGTCCGTGCCGTAGATCTACGGCTTTATGTTCAGGGTCCAAACCATAGATCTACGCCATGAGCTTAGCTCACTCTGATAAGCTGTGAGCAGTAAATTTGAGCCTAGATATGAGAGAATACATCTGTTTGGTATATGTGCACCACATAAAACAAATCCTGCAGCACACAGTGCATAATGAGAGAAAAAACTGAGACCGTAATTTTCGATTAAAACAGCGACTTTGCAGTGTTTTTTCATATGTTTTTTATAGTTGTATTTGCAATTTCTTGGTCTCATTTGATAGAATGGAAGATATACTATGGAAATAGAGATGATTTTGATTGGTTTTAGTACTGGAAATGGTTTGAAATTGAGCTCAAAGTAGCAGAAATGTTAAATTTTTGCCGATGTTCAAGAGTAAACAAATGACCTCACAAGTCTAATGCATGACAGCTGGGGGGTCTAATATACATTCACAAGTGTGGTGATATTATTTATACAATTATTACAGCATTACATAACAGTAAATCTGTCATGTGGGTTTTCGATACGTGAATGGGTAAAAATACTCACGTAGGCTGGTAGTACGTATAATATATAACGGGAAGTATGGGAAGCACAAACAGCCGACCTGTCTCTCTGCTGGCTAACTACGACTGACCCATAGTGCCTACGGGTGAGGGTGTTTGAAATCCTGCTATGGTCAGCAGCAATATGAATACAGGCAATGATTCACACAGACGGTTGGTAGTGAGTCATCTACTGGTACACTGGTTACTAGGAACTGGTACTACTACTGAGAAATCTTCTATTTTTTAGTTTGAATAAAAATTCATTGTGAATAAAAAATAAAAATGGAATTCATTTGTAAAGCCTGCAAAACGTAACTAATGAACAGAGGAAATGTTAGTTTAATGCCAGGAAGGCCTGCATTGTTTATTCTGGACCCTATTTTGAAATTGGAATATTTTGAACTTGCATTAAATTGGCCAAATTACCAATTTCCGGTCACTTTATTTTGTTGTTGAAACAGTCGACTTGGCGACTTCTTGTGCTCAATCAATAGAAGTAATACTAGTGAAATAGCTAAGAATTTGGTTGACTGGAATACTGTAATTGCCCTAAAATGGGAGTCAAAGTCGGTATAATCGCCGATGCGTAAATATCGCCGACACATCAAAATTCGCGAGTGCATAATTTCATCAGTTTTCCACCAAATTTCGTACTTTTTGTTTTTTACCTTCAGGAAAAGATTCTCTACCATTTCATAAGAAAAAATAACAATTATTTTTTTTTTAATTCTTGGACCCTGGTGCACACTTTGAAATTTGGCCTCTGGACCCTGAAAGGGTTAAGGAGCTTCATTTATTTTTTATTTGACATGCTTGCATTATATGTTAATATTTAAATTTTGTATATTTGTTAGAATGTCTTTTTAATGTATTTTTTTATGTTTGGGATACAGGTCTCCCTCAACATTTGCGAGGGTTAGGGGATCAAGAGCCTCGCGAATGTTGATAAACCGTGAATGTTTGGTGCCCCAATATATTGTAGGGAAATATATTACAATACTGCCTCCTTAACTTGTTGAACCATGAATAATCATAAAATACATGAAAACGTCGTAAATTGTACTAAATATATACATGTTATGCTTTAATAACGTATGTTATTTAATAACATGTATGTTAACAACATGTATGTTATTAACCCTTTGACTGTTTACGCCGTATAAATACGTCTTACGAGCCAATGTTCCTGACGTATTTATACGCACAAATTCTAGCGGCTTCAAATCAAGCGGGAAAGGCCTGGTAGGCCTACATGAGAGAGAATGGGTCTCAGTGGTCGATGTGCACCCTGTGAAAAAAATCTGGGACCCAGTGGTGCATTGTGGGAACGCCATCTTGTTAGTCCATTTTCACCATGCCTCTCGGTAAGAAGTTCCTCACTCCTCGGTGGATTGGAGGTCTTTTGTTCCCAAGTGATAGCTCTAACAGCAATGAAAATGTCAGTGACAGTGAATTCCAGGGTTTTGAAGTGAGTGTTACCGGAAAAAGTGCCCAGGATAACGTAATTAGTAATGAAAACCCAGATGACCCACAACCTTCCACCTCTGGTGCTGGGCCGGCTTGTTGACGTTCACGTTCGCCTGTACCAGGACGAAAGAGGAAACTATTTGGTCGTGTACAACACTCAGATGTTAGCAGTGAATGTGATAGTGATAGTGATTTCAAGGTCATTGAAAGCAGTTCTAGTGACAGTGAGGGTGAATATTCCCCAGTGAAGCGGCAGTATGTACGATGTAGCATGCGGTCTGGTAGTGTTTCATATGTTGTTCCAAGGGGAAGGAGAAACTCTGGGAGCACATCCCGTGGCCCTACACCATGACCTGATAGTGAAGATGACGATATTGTTACAATGGGTATGAATGATGTGAGTGAGGGAGCAGGCAGTGGTGGTGATAGTGAGGGTGGCACGGCCCATGTGGCACCATCAGCGGACCACGCTACTACCCACGCTGCTGACTCTGCACAACAACCAGCCTCACCCAACCCCACACTCCCACAACCTGCACAACCACAACCACGGTACAATATCCAGAACCCACCAGCATACCGCATCTGGGATTGGCAGGACGGTGACGAGTTTGTTCCCAGTCCCCATGACTGATGAAACACAAAGTGGAATAAAGCCATCATGTCCACTTGGGAACAATGCTAGTGAACTGGACTGCTTTGAGTTATTCTTCGATGAACCCCTGATGGACATCATTGTCAGGGAAACAAACACATACTATGATTACACCATGGCAAATACAATTCTCTCACCAAAATCACGGCTGCACAAGTGGAAGGAGACAACTGTGGCAGAGATGTACCTGTTTTTTGCCACAATAATGCTTATGCCACATGTGTATAAGCACACTGTCACCACATACTGGGCAACAGAACGCCTGATTTCAACTCCAGGTTTTAGTGACATTATAGGTGTCAATCGTTTCCTGATACTGTTACATATGTTACACTTTTCAGACAAAACCAGGCCTGACAGAAGCGACAGGTTATATAAGATCAGAAATGTGTTTATGTACCTGAAACAAAAGTGCTGCATGTATTTTTATCCCTTCAGGAAGCTTGTTATTGATGAGTCCTTGATTTTAAAGGAAGACTCTCATTCAAGCAATATATACCAAGCAAGAGGAAACGCTTTGGTATAAAGCTATTTGTACTGTGTGATTGCAGAAGTGGTCTAGTTTTGGATATCATTGTGTACACTGGCAGTAATACTTTGAGAGATACCATGAAGTAATTGGGTATCTCTGGTGATGTGGTTCGAACAATGATGGAACCATATCTTGGTAAGGGGCATATGTTATTTGCTGATAACTGGTACACAAGCCCCTTACTCAGTGATTTCTTGCGAGTGAACTTGACAGACGTGTGTGGCACAGTGCGTGGTAATCGTAAACATATGCCAAGGTTCAACGCTGGCACTCGCAGAGGTGAGGTGCAAGCCTTTGCTGCCAATGACATCATGGCATTTCGGTGGCATGACAAACGTGATGTCACATTGTTGACATAAGTTCACCGAAACGAAATGGCACACAGTGGCAGGCACAACAGAGAGACCAATGAACCCATTCTAAAGCCTGCAGCTGTCATGGACTACAACCTCAATATGCGCTTAGTGGACAAATGTGACATGCAGATTGGGTTTGCAGACGGTGTACGCAAGAGTTATAAGTGGTATATAAAACTTTTTTTCCATCTTGTTGATATCTCTATGCTAAATGCTTATAACATATACCAACAAAACACCAAAATATGGTGAATTTTGTTTGTCAGTAATCAGACAAATAATCGCAAAGTACCAAGGAGCATCACCTGCAATAGACCAGCACCCACGAAATTACCCACACACGCAATCTCGTTTCAGGCCTGGTGATCACTACCCCATACAACTGCCTCCTACTACTGCCAAGAAAAATGTTCAGAAGAGGTGTTATGTATGTACACATACCACAAAACGCCCACAAACACGCAGAGACACTCGTTTTATGTGTGAAGAGTGTCAAGTGCCCCTCTGCATATACCCATGTTTCAAAGAGTTCCACAAGCTGCAGCAGTGCTAGGAACATGTTCGGTGACTGTACATATGTATATATTATGGAACAATAGTTATAAACATTGTTTTGTATTGTTTGTTTGTGTAAACAAAGTGTTTACACAAACTAATAGTGATAAAGTTTGTTCAGTTATTGTGTTGTAAACAATGAGTGTATATTTGAACATTGCACCTTACATTGGTCTCACAGGCCACATAAGTTACTTGGAAAAGAAAAATATTGAAAAATGCAAGAAACCTTTGAATTAGAGTAAATAAAATAATACCGGGTGGGCGGCAGTCACCGCTGTTGCCGTACGCACGTCACTTTCTGCAAACTTTGCGGCTCTATATCTCAGTAAGTACTGATGGCAAAAAAAAATTTTTAGGCTTAAAACACTCGGAAAAATATTCCTAACATTTTCATAAGAAAAAATAATTTTTTTTTTTCGAATATTTGGCGACATAGAATGAGTTTCAGAAAGGGGCCTGAAACAGTCAAAGGGTTAAATAACACAGACTCCACCACTGCCAGTCCCTACTACCCTCCCTCCGACCCCCGCAACTGGCAGCCAGCCCTCCCACCACTCAGTGTGGTGAGTGTTTTGTTTGTTCATTATTTGCTGTTAAACTACAGAATAAATAATGTAAACTCATCCATGACTGCATATTGGAATGGCTATTAGGAAAGGTATTAGACGGTGACAGTGACATCATGTGTTTACTTTTGTACACTGCAAAGAATCGAACATTTCTGCTATTGCTAATAATAACAATAGTAATAATAATGATAATAATAATAATAATAATAATAATAAATATGATATAATTGAAGAAGGAAATTGTACAAAAATACG